ATATTAATTACTTTTTATTTTTTAAATAAGTATAATTTGTGATATTGTTCTTTTAAATAAATATAAATTCATGATTCATACACGGTTCTGGTTCACAGTTTATTTTTTATGGTTTTGGTTCATGATTTACTCACGGTTCCGGTTTACGACTCGTTCCCGATTCAAATTACATGATTCAATCTGATTTCGATTCAACGATTTATACACGATTCCGGTTCCAGTTAAAAAATTCATGAACTATAACCAACCCTTCTTGCTTCACAGTTTATGATAGGATCAAACTGGATCTTGTCGGTCTGGTTCAACCCGATTTTTAATAGGTTTGGGACAGGCCGGTTCACAGTCTAGACCGGACCCGTGAACAGGACTAAGCTAGGGTTCATCTGTCTGAAGCGCTGCCTGTATAAAAATTAATAAATAAATAGGGTGAAAGGGGGCATTTCCCGGCAATTTGGTCAATGCCCATCGCAAGACTTTTTTGAATAATCTTGTGACCCACCGCAAGACTATTCAAGCCCATGACTTGGAAAGTTTCATTGGATTCTGTACTTTATTAAACTACATGAAAAGTATTTTTACACATTTTTATTAAATTACAAATTTGTAATTAATTAATTTTTTATTCAATAGCATTAATTCAATGAGGGCTGATGTGGCAAGAATTGAATTATTTTATAAATGTAAAATCATTGTCTACTTTGCACGAATAATTGCATAAATTAATTAAAATTTAAAATTTAATTAATTTTAAAGTGAAATCCCATTATATATGTATATTAATTTGGGGAATTGGTTTTTAATTTTATACTATTCATTAATTTTAGTGAACTAGATTAATTTTTAATAACCACTGACTATAATTGTAGGTGAAAAAAGAAATTAGTAATAATTATTTAATTATCTTTAAATAACTACTACTAAAAACTATAAGTGGTTCTAGTGGGCACAAGCTTGCCAAGGACGGACCGGGTGGGCTTGAGTTCTGGAACTAATGGGCCTTGGGTGTTTGATCTTTGAGATTTAACGCGACTGAGTAACGCTGTTAATAGAGTAGATTTTAATTCAAATTCGATTTAATTATTTAAAATATTTAACTAATAAATAATTTGATCAACATAATTCGATTAAAATTTGTAATCTGAAATAAATTGAGCGAATATGGATCTCACATAATCCGATCTGTTAAATATCCGAAATTGATTATAATATATGTATAATATATCATATATGAATATTATATTATATATATATGCACACACACACACACAATATATATACATACAACTATTATTGTGTTTATGTACGAATGAATTTTAGAAAAAGTAAATAAGGTATATTACAATTTAGTTTATAGAATTAAACAAATTTCGTTGGAATTTTTTTTTTAAATATACATAAATAATTTATATAATATAATTAATCTTAATATCTCTGTTTTCTTTATTTTTTCCAAAAAATTTGTGATTAAATAATTCATCATTACTTTTAATTATTCAGATTTTCTAGTATTAATTTCTACAAAATATACTAATTACATGCTTCATTTATCAGATATTTATTTTTTTTTATCATTAACCTTTGTGTGGATAAATGACATAATATTTAATATAGTTTTTGTATTAAATTTACCATTTTTTTAGTTATACAAAAGTCTTGGTTAATGTAAAAGAAAAGAAATTTTAAAATAATATTTACACTTTTCCATCATATATTATAAAAATAACCATTAAAATAATAAGAATTTTCAAATATAATAACTATTATATTTTTTAAAATATTTTTTGTTATAATTTTAAAAAAATTTTTATTCGAAGTTAGATTATTTTTTTAGATATCAGATTTTTTTCAGATTTGAATATGGTAATAGTTATTACAAATTTGATTAGATATCGGGTCAGAATCAAATATAATATATAATTATCAGATTCAGATTTGGATCTATCATGATCCAATTCGAATTCGACCCTATCCAATTTGAATCCGACCCATTAACAGCCCAACAACTGAGTATGTGACCAGGCCATGACGGCAATCTGATGTGGGCTTCGCCCTTCAAGGGCAGGGAACTTTTTTTGTTTTGGGGGGGGGGATTAAGGGACAAATTTTTAGTTAATTTTTTAATATATGTATATATATATGTATATATTAGTTAAGATAGTTTCTCCAAAATATTTAGTTTGGAAATTATAAATTTTAATATTTTCGAAGAGAATTATTTCATCATTAAAAGTAATTAAGTAATTTTATATATTTTGTAAATATATATTTTTTATTTAAGGTAAAAAAAATTCCCTTTAAATTTGCTTAAATAATACTCAATCTCATTCTAATTTTAAAAAAGTATGTATCTCTTTGACTAATTATTGAATAACGATTATTTAATGATTTCGTAAAAAATTATGGGTATAACTCAATTCCATCTACTTAAATTACCCATATGATTAAAAATTAAAATATTATTAAATTATCAATGTCATATTTTTTATTTTTAAATAATTATAAAAATTTAGAAAATTTTATTTTAAAATAATTATAAAAATTAGAAAAATAATTTTTAAGTAAATCAAATAATATTTAAAATTTTAATCAGATGAATAATTAAAACATGTCAAATTAGGTCACCTTCACCTCTTTTTTAATATAACTATTAAGTAAATATTAGTTAATAGCTAGTCAAATGAAGAAATTATTTTTTATAACAAAAATGAGGTTAAATGTTTTTTAAGCTAATTTCAAGGAAATTAATTATTTTTATTTATTGTTTTATTCTAATAATGGCTAATGAGAGTTGGACAGAGGAGAGTATAGTTGATTCAGAAAATATGATTAGAATTATTTCAAGAAATCTCCAAAGGGAATTAAGAAAAAATAAACTTTACCAAATAGATTTATGAAAAATGAGTTTGGGGAAAGTGGATACAAGAAAAATGGGATTAAAGAAAGTGAATTTGGAGAAATAAGTAAGTTTTGCTACTTGATTCCACATAATGGTGAAAATAAATTATAAATTTTTAAAAATATCTAATTTATTATTTAAACTTCTAATAACCGTTATAGCGGAACCTTTCTTTTTTTAAAAAAAAAAAAGTTGACTAAACCTCAAACTTAAAAAGTTGGTCCAATCGAATTCTTGAAAAAGCAAAAAAAAAAAAATTAAAATTTTTTGCCTCTTCTTTTCCTAATAATCCTGCACAAACGATCAATTTGCAACCAAAACTACCTTTTTTAACAAAAAAGAAGAGCTTTTTGGTAAAAGAAACCTACCCAAACTCCCTCTAAAAAGGAAAAAAATGATAAGCAGGAAAGCATTGCAACAGGACAGACTTAAAGAAGAATATTCACAGGGTGTTGAATTCCATCCAATGCTTGAAAACACGTACTAACGACAAATAACCACGAAATGAAGGTCCAGGCCTAGCAAGCTAAATATACGGATGTCTGTCTGCAGCACCCAACTTAAGCATTATGCTTTAATGCCCCCATCTACTTCATAATCAACCCCAGGAACACTTCCGATCTCACCTTTGACACCTTCCACTTCATCAAAGTAGTCTTCTCGTGCATTGTCTGCTAACATAAGGGAAACCAGCCAGAAAAGTGATGTGTTGAGGGATAGAAAAGCACCGCCACCAAGGAGACCAGTCTTGGCAGTTGGGCAATCTGTTTGTAGGTTGTGATGAATGTTGCGAATCAGATGAAGTTGCTCTGTTTATCGTAGGCCACAGCAGAAACGCTAGTGCCAGTCCAGCGTTACACCTGTGATTCCACCATCATAGGCCAAATCAAGACAAATGAAGAAAAGAAGGCCAAGAGAGGTAGAGAATAAGATAAAGTTATTGTATGATTGAGAACCACTCAGTTTTCAAGAAGTGCGTTGTTTACTTTGGTATTCCCGGCTTTGTCAGGGGTTGTTTGCTTTCAGGGGTTTTATTTTCTTCTTCTCATTGTCCATTAAAAAGAGGCCAGATAGGATGGATATTTTGTTTCTTCAAAAGAAGCCTAACTTTCGTTAAGTTAATGTTTGGTTTCAGGCATCTTTATTGAAATAAATCAGGGCATTTACATCCAAAACCCTATGGATTGGCTTTCAAAAAGTTCTGACATTTGTTAACATCCTAAATTTAGGGCTTTAGTTCCCCCCCCCCCCCCCCCCCCCCCCTCTCCAAAAAGTCCTCTTATAATGAGGGAACCAAACAAGCTCTTACTGACAGAAAACAAAAAGTGCAACACAACCATTCCCTCCCTCTATATATATATAAACATGAGTGTACCCAAGCAAGGCAAAGTTATTTTTTAGGCTTCAATGATATCATCCGGAAATTCCAACATCTGCTACCAAGTTTAATGTTACCTTCAACATGGTATGTTTTGATATTTTTGGTATTTTGTCTTCCTTTCCTTTAATACAATTTTCCCACAGGATGGAGGGAATAACCTAGCACAAAATATTGACTTAATTTTCATGTACCTTTTGTCAGTAAATTGTCAAATACTACAAAAATACACTACGACTAGGCAGTAATTAATTTTTTTGCTCTATCCCGTCAATAGAATAGGTTAACAATAGTATCATCGTAAGTGACTGGAAAAATCACTCAAGTGAACAATGGTTATGAGAGAACCATTGCATGTTCAACATAATAAATATCAGTAAATCACAGCAGTTACATATTGAAATTAGTATTTCCCTCTACACTTTTTCCATGACAGAAATATTCCCTATCCATATAATGAGAAGATAACATCTGCTGTATGTACTAATCCATATTATTCAAAAAAAAGTGAAACACGGTTAAATTGTAAAACATCCAATAGGGTGGTAAACTAAACTACGAGAAGGACTAAATGAAAAGATGTAAAAGGAGATATAAGAACCCAATAAATGTTTACTTACGGAGCAATAGGTAACAAAGTTAAATTATAGAAAAGCCAAAAGGGCGGCCAACTGAACATAGAAATAAAGAATAAGATAGCGATATAATAAACCAGTAACAGTATACTTACACAGCAATATTGAAGAATACGACGAAGCTAGTGCTTCGAAACATGGCTGACTGCGGAATGGACTTTCCTTGGTAAGGGTAAAACAAAGAAAAGTACCCAGCCACAGTTGAGGCAACCAGAAAACCAACAGACAGGTACCCCAAAACAACAGTAGGGTCATATGGATACTTGCAAATGACAACCCCTTTCCCTGGAATTGCAGTTCCAGATGCAGGCTGTGGAAGACAAGAAGATAAATAACACACACAACTTCAGATAGTAGGTTAAGGTGTGCAAAACTTCATACTACTATAAGACAGATGTTAAAAACTAACAGAACAAGTGAAAATCATACATCACGCTTCCAGGTGATCCTTTAACACTCCAGCAAAGAGCAGATGGACTAGTATTATCCATACTCCCAATTTCACAATTTGCACTCCAATTTATTAATCACATGCTATGTTTGTTGAAAATAATATAAGAGTTAACTATGAGGTACAACCCCACATAAAGAATAATAAAAAAAGGAGCACAAGGAAACAGCTTTACCAAAAACTATAATTCAAGTAATTATTTGCTCAACTGTTTTGAAGTGAACAGAATGAAATGGGTCAGTTATTGTGCTTCTCTATGTAATCCAACAGCAGAGATTCTACCAAATACAGTAACTGATATAGGTAATTGGTTAAAGGCATGACATGAATACCAAGCTTAAAGATAAGCTTCCAATGAATCAGTAAATTCCACAGTCAGTCTGCAATCAACAAGATACAGGATGTTTAGCAGCTTATGAAAACTAAGACGAATTTTCTTTTCAGATTTTTTTTCTAATGACTTAATTATTTTTACAGAATTTAATAGGAAGCTACAGAAATCAATCATCAACTTGTCGAAAGCCTATTCTTTTAGAGCACAACTAGTGATTTGAATGTGCTAGCAAGCTGGCATGTATAAGCAATTATCATCTCAATGGCCCATGAAGAATGGATATTTTAGTACCATAACAAGCATTTAAAAGGCTCAATGTGTGTACAAACTTGCAATTACTTATATTTCACTTGACTGCTCCAATTATGGATCATATACAGGAGAAACATGTTAAGGGCAATAAAGTTGGTGTAAAAGCAGAGGTGTGACTGGCTAACAAAGATGCAAGGGGGCTAGTAAATATTACAAATGGAAGTATGAGTATCAATTATCAAAAATTTTCCCACTGAAGACAATCAAAGGTTGAAAATTTGAGGATGTGCCAAGACTACTTTTTAAAATTTCTCCAAATATGACATAAAAATCAAATTGCAATAAGGCCGAGGAAACAAATAGAACAATAATATCAATGTATTCCATGAAATTAGAAAAAGGAGGTAGAAGGCCAAAAGAGCTTTCAATGTAGAACATTTCATAGCAGAGCCACCTTCTTGTTCTCAGCAACAACACCAAATACGAAGGATAGGGCACCAAAAGCTGCTACAATCAAAGCCATCTGTTTGGTAGTAAACGCCATTGCACCTCTTTCCCCTCAACGCTACTGCACAAAAAAATCGATTAATAAGCCCAAAAGAAGGTAATCAAATAAATATTAGGCATTTTATTGGCAAAAATAAGTTTTGAGAGGGTGTGAACCAGAATCTCACTGGCCTAGTCCGTTATAAAATTAGTGTTCAAAAGTATACATACTGAGAATTATAGAGACATCTGAGACATTCATTCAATTTTCAAATGAACAAAATTGATCAGGCAAAAAGCATTACAACAAATAAGAATAAAATTGGGGATCCATAATACCAGATAAATGCACATCTTAAAATTATTTGTAGCAAAAGATAAACAGAACGATCCGCCATATCCGCAGTTCATAGAAATATAGAACACGATTTCTGCTGATCCTCAACTGAACTTTCCAACCCTGAGGGTGGAGGAAAATAAAAACACAATCCAATTCGAATATCCAAGTAGAAAACGAGGAAGGCGACTGATCAATCACAAGGAATTACACAAATTTCGGTGAAAAATCGATTGATTAGGTGAGTCAAACAGAACAGAAACTTCAAATCATGCGCATGCGAGTAAAATTACTTGATAATTAGGTGAAATTAAAACAGAATAAATTCGATTAAACTCACTCAAAATTCAACTTGTCACCGGAATACGGAAGGACTTGAATGACTGAGGAGAGAGATTGGGGAGAGGAAGATAGAGAGAAACGTTTACCTATCGAATTCAACGCCGAGGGAGGCACTCCGGGATTGTCTCCGTCTCTATGTGCACCAATCCAAGCTGGCTTGCTTTATATACAGACTACGGATGCGCGTGAAACGGGCGCGCGTGAGTATAAGGATGAGATAGTTAGCTTGAGATTCCTGATTCAAATCGATTCAGGTTACGGCGGAAATCGAATCTCCTACTCTTCTCTCTCTCTCTCTCTCTCTCCTCTCTCTCTCTCTCTCTCTCTCTCATTCTTTTTCCTTTTCCCATTTTAAGTAAAAGGAATTTTATAATTATCTAATATGTTAAATACAAAGAAAATTATTAATTATAAGTTTTTAATATGGAAAATAAATAATATCTTTAAAATTATCCTCTCCTAGGTAAAAATCATATCTCATTGACTACAAACTAATAAATTTATTTAATTAAAAATTTTAATTAATTGTATCAAAAATTGATTTTAATTATTTATAAGAGAGAGGATAAATTATACATTCTTATACTTAATTGAAAAATAACTATGCAATGTTTTAAAATTTTTTATATGTTAATACAGGAATTAAAATAAGAATAAAAATTTTCAGAATCGTAGGAAGACACAATAAAAGTAAAAATAAATAAATAATATTATTGTTTTTATTATAAATAATTTAATTTATTCCATAATAAATATTACTAAAAAGAAACTGTTGAGGAAAAGATCACAAAAAGATAAGAAATAGGTTTGAGAGTCTATGATAATAATAAGGGATAAATTTATAAGATAAGCTCTAATTATTTTTTAAGTAATTATCTTTATATTTAGCTAATATTATAAGTAAGAGTTTAATACCGTCGAGAAATTATTTTATTTTTTCCACAATTGTACTTGAGCTCGAAATAATTTCTTCAAGTTATTTTATTATTTGGGCGGTTGTACTTGATTTTGAGATATTTTTTCTTGGTCATGAATAAAATTATTTTATATTACAGAAATAATGAGATATATTTTTTAATTAACATGAATAAAATTTTTATTTTAATATTTTCTTTATAAATTATTATACCTCTCTTAGAAGTTTAAGTTTTTCATTTTTCCAAATTTTTTTGTAAATTAATTAAATTAAGTTTATCTAAAATAATCTCTGTATCGTTTGGATATTGTTTCTTTTTTATTATTAAAAATATGTATTATTTTATCACATCTAACAAATCTAAGATAAATAAACATGTTGTATAGAAATAAATAATACATTCCCATTTTTATAGTGCCATCCAAAGATTTTCTTTTTAATTTCCTTTCTTATTTCTATCAAAAAAAAATCTCTTTCCTGTGATTATAATTTTTATTTTTTACATAAAATATTAAAATTTAATAAAATCTGAATTTTCTACCTAGAAAAATTCTTTAAAAAAAAAATTTCAGAACTTTATATTTAAAAAAAAAGGTCAAAACATTTCTCCAAAAAGTTACTTTAAACAAAAATTGAACTACAACCCAATTTTAAAAATCAATTACTAAAAATTGAATAAAACCATATAAATATAAAAATATATTTAGTTTTCTTCTTCTTCTTCTCTTTTTTTATATGTATTTTCCATTTATTATGGAATTATTATTTTTCAAAAATAAAAATGTCTTGCGTAGCCATATAATTGAGTCTCTAAAGTCGCTTTCATTTCATCTACTGGTCACACTCACATGTTATCATTCAATGTACACAATTTTGCTTTCCTCTTTTGGGAGAGAAAATAAATGAATTCTTTCAATATAATGCACAAAATTTGGGGAAAAATAGAAATATACTATATTTAATTATCAATAATTGAGCAAAATAGATAATATATAAATATATATCTATATGTATATGTGTATAAGTATTTCCTTTCTTTTATCCGATTAAATGATTTTGTGATTCTCTCCCTGATTAGATCATTTCCAAATTAATAATAGGAAAATTCTAAAATCCCATCCAGTTGTTCCTCATCCATACATCCATCACAACCCAAATTTTATTTCCTAAATTACTGACAATATTTTAATTAATATTTTATTTTTCTATGAATGCAGCCCTCGAGATTTTGAAATTCAATATCGTACCACAAAATCTCTGCCTCAATTTTGATATGCACTGGAAAATACCTAATATTTGTGGGCGAAATAGATAAAATATACCTAGATAGAATTAATTTAAAAAAACTTATTAATTCAGATGCAATAATTCATATTTGGAAATTTAATAACACTCTTACCACTCAATCTCAACAGATTAGCTTATAAGTTATCAACCCATTTGATATTTTATTTGAATTATTAATTTTTTTAAAAGTAAATTATTATAATTATTCTTTAATAGAATTAAATATAATAAAATTATATTACAAAATTCTTGAAGCCAACGATTATGACTTCTAGCATCAAAAATTTTTTAGCTCAAAAAAGGCCTAACAAATTCTGTGACTAGAAATTCAAAAAATTAAAATTCAATTTTGCCGGAAATAGTCTTAATTGGACCTAGTTTTATCAATATGCCCAAAAAAAATGTATTAATGAAGGTACTTCGGTTATTCAAGAAAATAAGAAGGGCAATTTAGGTTAAAAAAAATGAATTTCTTATTATTATATTTTATTATTCAACTATGTTTGCATCTCCATTTCCAATAAAATTTCTGTAAGCTAATTAATGCTTGCTGTACATGCACGTTCAAGCTACCAGTCTCTCTCTCCGTTTATAGTTATTTCCATCCCCCCTCATCCACGGGATGCAGTGTGTT